AGACTTTATATTGCAGCCTGGTAATTTCCGTGAGTTTCAATCAATCAAAAATGCACCCTGTTTTGATAATGAATTGACATTATCTCAAATTTTTACATTTAGATAACAGAAAAGACATATTTAAAACTCAATTGACAATATTTCCATTAGAAAACTGGATCTCAGTATTATTCTAATATTTTTAATTACACTATTTTACTTGAGTATACAGGCAGAGAATAATTTGCATAAGTATCACTTTTTAAACCAGTTATTAGTAGAGCAGAAGTATACTTATGCTACTGTATTTTTTAAAGAAATCAAGTTTTCAGTGTTTGTAAATTTCCATTGCTTCTCCGTAGTCTGTGACCTTCAAGTAACACAGTGATCTACCAGAAAACCTAGAAGGGGGGCATTTTCATTTCGTGCATTAAAGGCAGATGCAGTCATGGCCACAACCTGCCTTCCAGAAGCTCTTCTTCTACCTCTCACCTCACCTACCCCGCAGCCGAGCCAGCAGCCCTAACCTCACCTCACTGGGAAGGGCATGCAGGTTGAGGTGGAGGTGCGCCCTTCAGGTGCGAGGCCTTCCTCTCTGCTTTGAATCTGCCCACTCCTTTGGCTCTCAGAGGGCGCTCAATTCTCACCATTACCCTGGGATGACCTCTTGCTTGGCCCGTGTGCTACTGCGTTGAGTTTACCTGAGGTGAAGAGTCAAGGGCAGTGTCCTTAGCACTTGGGGACGCTCTCCTGCGTTCTGCAGCAGACTCACAGTCTTCTCTGACCTTCTCAAGAGGTAGCAACCTGCTCCCACCCCCACTCTGAACCACACAACTCATTTCTTTGGCTTTTCTTTTTCTACCAGATGAAAACCAATGCCCCAGGGTCAGTTTACACCTGTAATTACCCATGGGCATTCAACTTTGAGCTGTTCTCTGATTTGCACTAATATCCAGCACCCTGAAAATGGAGCTTTTAATTTTTTAATTACACTGTTAGACTTAGTTAAGACATTGCTCCCTGGCTGCCCTCTAGGTCTTTTTTAGTTACATAATAGGAAAAAGAAGAGGAGAAAGTGACCTTGACTGTGGAGCAAGAGCCGGAGGCACGCTCTGGAAGATCGCTTGTCTCTTGGACAGGATCATTACCACTGATGTCTGTGCTTTCCATGGGGTGGAGGGCATGCATGAGACTCTGCGAAGCCTAGTTCGTCCTGCTCTGCACCACAGTATAGGATCACACTTTTACTCCTAGTCATCTTTGCAATGTGTGCGGTCCTCAGGAGCCAAAGCTTGCGGGCATGCACACCATGACACTGTCTTTGTTGGGGGCATGAGCGTCACCCCAAGCACTGTCTGACCACCCATGGGCCCAACGACAGAGCTGAACCATGGAAATGTACATGCATCTGCTTGAAGAATAAAAGAAACCCAGGGGTGGCTCTTAAGGCCCCTGATTACACCTTGGCTCTTTTCAAACTAATGGTGATCGTTGTTTATCTGAAAAACATATTTGGATATATAAACTGAAGTCAAAACTTACTTTTTTTTTCTAAAAGAGTCAACTGCTAGTGAATTATTCATTGACTATTCATCATAATTATCTTAGATGGACCTTTTAAGAGTACAGAATAAAAGAACATTTTCAGAGTTATACATGTGCCATTCAGTTTTTTTCTTGGCCTCTGCTCATACTTTATAGATCACATAGGTAATAATTTTTGGTTCCTATCAAAGTGAGATAAAATATAGCAGTATTTTAAAAAAGCCACTATTCTTCACTGGAGTGGGTTCTGACCCCCTGGGGCTGGAGGAAGCCAAGCAAGCTCTGTAGGCAGCGTGGCAGCAGAGAGAGTGCATGTGGACGGCGCTCTAACCTGATCACACAGGGCTGCAGAAGCTGTGCACAGGCTGTACTAATATTAGCACAGTCGGTCTCAAGCCCTGGAAGTGACGTCAGCGAGGAATGGAGGGCTTCCCCTGGGCTGGAGAGTGAGAGCCTGCTTCTTGCTCACTGAGTGCTTTAGAGGTCGTGTCGATGAACCATCTGACCTGTGGGAAAGTTAAGCTGACTTACGGTGCTCCAATTCTCATCCAGTAGTATTTTATCCTTTAGCTAGTGATTTGCTAAGGTTATTCTTCAAAAAATTAATTTTAAGGCTTTTAATATTCCATATAACCCTTCTGTCGTTCATATGTACAAGCTTGTTATGTACCTATGAAATGTATATGTGCTGCCGAAGCGAGCACATTCTGTTTGTCATCTAATCCATCCAATCTGAGACACCCAGCTGATCATGTTAGAAATCTTGACCTGACCCTTCTTGTACAACTAAATACTAAATCCTTTATAACATACTGGCTGATCATAGCTTGAAACTATCTTCTTGGACAGCACCTCTCCCAAACACTAACCTCTCTCACTGGCCCTCTATGTTTTCTTTACATGCTATTGCCTTCCATGCAGGGAATGCAATGAGAGGATCTTCTGAAAGTGCAGTTGTCTATATATAGCTAGGTCACTTTTTCACCATTACAGTAACACAGATGCAAAAAGTACAACTATGTTTACCTAAGTTAGACTTCACTTTTCTTTCCTAACCCTTATTTCTTTCTAGCATTATTTTAGAAAACAAATCTTACTTTAACTTAGTTGTTTTCAGTCACCTCTGGGATCTGTGATGTCTAATCTTCATTTATTAATGCCTGAGAGATGTTCAGGATATTAGTGCAGCATACTCTGGGTAGGTTGTGGGAGCACGACCTCAGGGACTGTAGTGAGTCCCCCTGCTCCTTCCTCCCTGGCTTCTTTCTGTCCTCTCCGCTCTCCAGATGCCACGAATGAGCAGTTTCCTTTGCCCCATGCTTCTACCATGACAATCCTGCTTTGGAGTTGGCTGACCATGGACCAAAACCTCTGAGACTGAGAGCCAAGATCAGCCTTTCTTCTTCTGTTGCATGCAGGGCATTTGGTCCCACCAAGAAGTCTAATGTGCTCTCTGCATAAACTCTTTTTTAGGCTTATGAGCATCCCCTTTATCTGACAGGGCCACATCTAGGTTCATTTTAATGTGGCATTAGAAAGGATGGTAGGTTTGTGGCATTAGAGAGGATGTATCATCTACTCTGTAGCAAGTCCCCACTACTCATTGGCATCTGAGGGTGACTTTCCTGTCCAATGTTCTGTCACTGGCACCTTGTCATTGATGGCATTTTCCAAGGCCCTGCCTCACTCTGAGGTTCTGCATACTGGGCTCCATCCAGGTGCCCTGATTTTTATCCACTTGAGACCCTGTCTCAGGTACTTTTGCTGTTCCTCCTAGGCTTGTGAGACCATTAGATGTTTGCTAACTTAGCTTTAACTGCAATATTAACAAGCATAGTATTAAGACAAGTTCCTCTCCATATGTGCAGGGGAATGAAAATCCTGTCCCTCTAAACCCGAAGGGGTACACCGTATCTGAGTTACAACCTTTATAGAAGCTGAGAACAGGTTTCTGACATTCACTAAAAACAATGGTAGATTGAAGAGTAGAGTGAATACATCTGATATTCTAGCATGATTTACTGCTTTTCAAGCCTATTCACAGATGTGCAATCCCTCCAGGTGGCTTCTTCCCCCTGCCCCTCCCCCCTCCAGCCTTGGACTGCAACGCGCTGCCTATGCAGGGGTCTGCACCCCTTTTGCTCCTCACTGCCCTCTTGCTGGACACTTATGTGTTAAGCTCTACTCTTCATAATAGAGCCAGCGAGCAGCAGAGCAGTGGGGAAAGCACCCCCAAGCCAGTTTCTGTACACCCTTTTTATAAAAAAGCTGTACCACAATTCTTGTCTTGAGAACAATGGGATGGCATAGAGGATAAAATAGAAAGATATTTTCCTTTCTTCAATGTCAGGCAACTACTCAAGCTCACTTAGCATTTTCTTGTTGCAGACATTTCTGCAAGGAAGAGATCAGAAGCAGCCTGCGGTCAGCAGCTCCTCCTGTCCCTGCTCAGTACCAAATGTCTTACAGGGGTGCCTCTGTAAGAGGGGCTCAGAGCAGGTGAGGGAAAAGTCAATGCAGGTGCTCCTGGAGGCCAGCAGGGACCAGAGTGTTAGGCTGTCTGACCCTCTTAGTGACACCTCTCGAGGAGGCCAAGGCCCAGGCCAGGAGGTGAGCTGGAGCACGGGTGGACACAGTGAGATGCTGAGATGCTAAAACTTCCCATGCTGGTACCCGCAGGACCTAGAGGCAGCAAGTCTCTGTTTGATGATGTCATGAGAGCCAGCTGGGATGATAATTTCCCAAAAGTCACTTCCTGGGAAAACAACTGTCCACTAGGGGTTATCTGACCCTTCAAAGTCCTATGGGATCCCGGGGTCTTTGCATGGCCCTGGGGTTGGGTAGGGGTGAGAGTAATTACTAAGATTGAATTCACTAGCAGTTAGGGCAGGGTGTAGCTGAGGCTGATTACAAGACATTTTAAAAATATTCTTCTTGTGAATCTGGGTTTGTGCATCTTAACAGAGATTTGCACCTTACACACTAATCTAGGCTACAGCTATTGACCAAAGAAAGAGAACTAGCTCAACAAGTTTGCTTTCTTTTACTGAACTTGCTTCCCTGCAGCCATCCCTAAAGAAGTACTTTTTGTTTCCTTCTTATGACATATACAAAATTCTCAAGCTAGCTCAGCAGCATAAATGCATGCCTGGCAAGCACAAGGTCCTGAGTTTGATCCCTAGTACTGCCACACACACACACACACACACACACACACACACACACACCTCATTAAAGTATAAGAAAGGAGAAAAAAGTAAAGGAAGAAAACACGAAAAGGTTGTTAGAGAAAGCAGAAAGTGGGTAGAACATTCTAGAAAAATGTGTATCTGTTTATAAGAAATGAAATAGAATAAAGCTCCCCCTCCCCAACCAAACACAGTTGCCTCAAAAATGGCACAGAAAGGACATGGGAAAGAATAATATATCTGGCACTCATTTTTCCTTTAGAAATTTCGAGCTTTACCAATTTTTACCTGAGAGGCATTGTGAAGAGAAAACTCGTTTATTGATTGGCTTGTGGGAATAGATGCTCAGATAAAATGGCTTCAGCTGCTGTGACAAAATCATTTCATTCAATTTTTTCTGCAGAATAAAATATTCTTCAGATAACTTTGATATCTACAGAGAAGGTCAAAAGTTGGATGAAATCAATACAAAAAGTCCTGCAAGGTGCACAGGTCCCCAGGTGTTGATCAATTACATTCCAAGGTGCTCATGTTTTTTCTTCAGGATCTACCCTGACAAAGCCCTTTCTTCACACAATGTCCCCCATTTGTTCTACTTTTTCACCTCATATCTTTCATTCAGAATTTTCAGACATCACATGCTCTATTCCGATCAACTTCTGACATCTGGCCTCTGCCCTTCCCACTTCGTGGTGATTGCCATTCTGCTTCTATCCCAAGGAAACTCTGTCCCACCTTTGTGCCTTCCCTCCTCCAATTCCAGCATTTCTTAGCTAGACTTCAAGACTACTCTTTTCCATCCTCTCTTTCCACCTGGCTGCCTCTGCTTCTCTCTTGTCTACATCCCAAGTTAGCCTGGCTGTCCTGTCAGGAGGCCTGTGGGAGCTGTGCTTTTCTGCTTCTGGTTTTGCTCCTGTGGAACACTGAATCTACATGCAGGGTGGTATCAGCCAGCTCTATGTGAGTGACTTGGCAATTCTATCTCTCCTCAGTGCTTCAGTTGCATAACAAGTCTGTGTTCTAATACTGATTTGAGCATTGGACTGAGCAAATTTATGCACCAATGAAAGGAAGGACTGCATGTTTTTAAAGCTCACTATTTCTAGATTTTTAAAAAAATAATTAGTACAGGAAGGAGAAATTTAATCCTTGGCAGATCTACACAGACAACCAGAAGTTAGAGATGCCTGGACCTCACCTATAGTGAGCTCAGCCACTACCAGAGATGAAAGGCTTGGCCTCGGGCCTCAGGTATTAGGCAAGCCTTCTTTGAACCGCCTTATTATGATAAATTTCTTTATTTCATAAACCATTGACTGCCATAGTAATGCATGTTAGAGGTCATCTGGTTAAAATATTTTACTTTACATAGGAGAAAATATAAGAGCTGACACATGAAGTCATTTTCTTAAGGTCAAATACTTGACAGAAACTGGAACAGATATTTATGGGACCTAGTTCCTGTGATCTCTCCATGGTACTGATTTGTCTGAGGCATATGTTTACCAGTGAGAGGCCCTCAAACCTATGGTTTCTCTTTCTCCTCTAGGGGCATCTGAGACCCATCTATGGATGGCAGAAGGTATCCTCCAGGAGGGAACTTTCCCCTGTGACTTTTCTTTATGATCCTTTTCATCTATGACTGCTTACTGTCATAAGACTTTCATCTTCATCAAACACATGCCTCAGTATGGCTTCACATCTAATTTTGACATCCAGTTGTGTCTTTTCAATTAACATTTGAGGCAGGGAGAAAGCATAAACTTCAGGGTATTTAGAATACTTAAAAAAATTAGCAATAACAAAAACTGCACATACATGAAAGTTTGCATGATCCAATTCTAGCATTTTGGCAAGTAATGTAAACTAATCTCTAGTGACCGTATAGCATGAGACATTTGTCATATTGTCTGCTATTTTTATCACACTGAACTGGTTTAAAAACTCAGATACTGAATTAGCAGGACCCTTGAGATATTTTATGAAAAAAGTCTCATAAACATAGGTGAAACAATATATTAGTTATTAATTCTGTTTCACTCACTTATTGGGTAGCTCTCATGGTGTTACTAGTACATCATATTTTTTCTCATTTGTTCCATTTACATACCTGCTTTGAAAAAATTGCCAAATCACATGCTTCTTTTTCTGAAGTTGCTTTTGAATCTCTGTCAGTCTTCACCTTGCTATTACAGAGTTCCTCATGTGTTGTGGGACAGGAATACACACTGTGAGTGTTTTTTGTTAGTTCTGGTGGCGTTGCAAGAATCCTTTGACTTTTAATGGGAGGAGACACTCTGTCCTTCCCTAATTGTTGCCTTTGCTGGAAACCATGGCATCTGCTCTGGATGGACCCCACAGACTCGTCTTCTGCCTCCGGTGCTGGCATCACCACTGGGTCTTTGTTCTTCTCTCTGGCCACCCCATGCCTCTCGCAGCCTCTCTCCTGTCTGCATACCAGTGAATTCTGGGTAACTACAAATGCCTTCTTCTCTTTCTCCTTGCTATTTGCATTTTGAGCACCCAACCTTTGGCTAAGACTAGGTTCCAAACTTTTCTTCAAAGAACTCTCCTTCTCAGCTAACCACAGCCCCTGGTTGCTTGGCCTTTCCACTGTGTACCTCTTCTTTGGATATACTGTTTTTGGTTCCTCCAAATTCCTTTCTCCTGTGTGCTTCTGACAATAACTCTGCATCCCAGAGTCCTCTCTCTCTGTATTCCTCAGATTACTGTTTTCTTCTGGGTCTTTCATGTACTTCCGCTTGAAACTCACATCTATCCAAGAGTCCCCCGTGAGACACAGCCCTTGGTGACGCTCTTCTCCGTGCATGCTACTCCTTGTTTGCTGAGTCTGACAGCCTCTGTGCTTACTTTCAACAGCTGTAGTGTCTTCTTCCATTCTGAATGCAGAGGTCTGCCCTAGAGATGGACTCCCTTCATTATTTAGAGCTGGACTGACTGATTCATTAGTAGACACTGCATTTTCTGCTTGTTTCTTCATAAAAGATTCCCTGTGTAAAATACATTACATATGATTAAATTAAAAACAAACATCATACCTGAGTCTATGATGATACTAAACTAGAGCTTATCACGTCTTCTGTCACCAGGTCCCTGCAATGTAATGTTGGGAGAAAAGCAAAAAGAACAAAGAAAGCATAAAATAAAAACTTCTCCTTTTATTTCTCAAGGCATAGTCTCACTAAGTAGCCCAGGCTGGTCTTGAACTTCTGCATCAGCCTCCTGAGCGCTGGGATTACAGGCATGCACCACCATGCCTGGCCCTAGAAATGTTTCAAGTCACGTAATCAATTGCCTCCCCAAATGTTACCCTTACTGCTAACTGTGCCTCTCCTGCCTCTTCTGCCCAAATGTTACCCCTAGTGCTGACTGTGCCCAAAGAAGGAGGAAACTAGTTTCAGTGAAGAGTGAGAAAGGGCATAGCATGTAAGGGATTTATTTTCACTTAATGGGGTATCACAATTCTAAGAATTTAATCCTTCAAAATATATCTTTTTGAAAACAGTGATGAGACGTTGTGGAAAATAAATCTAATTTTGAAACCAGTAAGCAGAATATGTTCACTAGGCTCAAGTTTTGTACTTTAATAAGCAATACATTTATTGATCACAGGAAATAGCTTGCAAAATTAACGTTCAGTCAATGTCCTCAATACAGTTCATGAGTGTATAATGGAGTGGGAAAAACTTTTAAAGTTGTTATTTTGCCAATATCCTTCCAAAATGATTTTCCCTTAATTTGATGATAAAGTGGTAAGGTCTTTATGATATTTTCTTTTTCAGCCAAGGACTAAATCTTTACAGCTGGCCTTGAATTCACTTTGGAGCCCAAGTTGACCTCAAACTCACAGTGATTCTCCCGCCTCAGCTTCCTGAGTGCTGGGATGACAGGTGTGTGCCACTATGCCCAGCTGATTGTTCTTATTTTTAATAACCATGAAATCTAAGAAGAGAGAAAAAAGTAAAGACACTAGACACAGAAGACATTGAAATTAAGGTTGGGAAGTTAAAACCTGCACAGGGCAGTGGCTGAGGGAAATTGAAGGGGAGATCAAGAAATACTCTAAGCCGAGTGTGGTGACACAGGATTAAAATCCCAGCCCTGTGGGAGGGCTGAGGTAGAAAGAACACAAGTTTGATTCCACTCAAGGAAATTGTGTGATTTAATGAGACTTCTCAAAATAAATAAATAAGCGAGCAGGGCATGGTGATACACACATATAATAACAGACACGGGAGGCTGGGGCAGGAGAGGCAGGAGAGGCATCTGAATCTGATTCTCTGAGCCTACAGAATTGAGTCATATGGCATGAGAAAGAACATCATTATACCTTTTATTTTCAAAGTTTTTCTTGTAGGCAAATTCCTTCTCTTGAGTCGGAATGGTTACTACTGCTGTGTTTTTCATGTTAACTTGTTTTCTTTGTTTTCTGACAAGATGTCCCCTTGCAGCTGAAACATAGAGGATCTAGATTAGTGTTAAGCATAAGAAATAAAAGAACATTACCTAAATGAGTAGGAACAAGTGGTTATGACCACTGGTGTTGAGGATGAATATACAATTAAAGGTACTAAAGAGAATAAATTTATTTAAAAGATGAAAATCAACCACAAGCCACTTCTATGGCAACAGAAACACTAAGCAGTATCTTTCAAATTATGGGAGGACTGAAATAAACCTAAAGTGACAGAGAGTAGAAAAATTGATTACAAAATATATACCTTTGCTTAAAGTGTGCTAATAATTATTAGCAAAATAATTAGCTAATAATTATTTTCCTTTTCATGTGATATGTTAAGCTTTTTATGCATGAAAGTCTTTATGATATATGTGTATGCTTTGGACATTTAGGCCAACTACCTTTGTGGCCACATGTATTTTAGAATTCAGATTAGAAGCATAATTTTAGGGTCAGGGAGATAGCTCAGTAGAATAATCCCCTGCCTGGCAAGCTCAGGTCCTGAGTTCAATCCCAAGCACCACAAAAAAA